AGGAGGCTCCACTGCTCAAGAAAGGCTTCATTCCCAAACAGAGTTCCTGAAATACAAGCTAATTTATGATTCCCACACAGCAAGAACAACAAAAGGAATCATTGACTCAACTTCTCCTGGTCTTTCAGGTTAAATGAGAAGTGTGACAGATGTCATACACGACACTGCAATCATTAACCATAGAATACAACTTTTCCCAAGAGTTCACCTTGAGAAGAATGTTGTCCCAAGTGGGAACCTATTAAGCCTCATTAGGAACCTATTAAGACTCAACTTAAGTGGCTGCACAGAGGCAGAAAGATTCCCACCATTCCAGCGCACCACCCAGTCTTTCACAGGAGCTCTGCAGAAGCCCTGGTGGCATTTCAGCAACAGACTGGTCTCCCGACACCCATTTCCTGATCCCTTCAAACACTGTCAAAGTTCTCAGCTATTAAAATAAACCCAACCCATTCCCCAAAGTCAGCATCAAGAAGTGTCCTAGGAAGTACCAAGCCTGCTGGCGTTACCTGCAAATCCAGAGCCACAGTTGGTTATGATGTCCAGCAGGGCCTCTGGCAAGAAGCCATCCCGAGCAAAACGCTCCAGAAAGATGTCCCCCTGCCTCTTCGACAGCTTGCCACCATATTTGTTGAGAAGCAGCGGAAGGTGACCAAACTGAGGGGGATCCCAGCCAAAGGCTTTGTAGAGAAGGAGGTGCTTGGACGTTGAAGCCAGCCACTCAGTGCCCCGCAGAACGTGGCTGATGCCCATGTAATGGTCATCCACCACATTCGCCAGGTGGTAAGTGGGGAAGCCGTCCCCCTTGAGAATCACTGGGTCACCTTCCACATCAGCCACTTCATGCTTGTTCCACCCATAGACCAGGTCCTGAAAGGGTTCCACCCCCCTCTCCAGCCGGAAGCGGACCACCCAGTCAAGGCCCTGAGACAGCTTCTCAGACACTTCTGTGGGCGTCAGGTGCCGACACCGGTTGTCGTATCTTTGAGAAAGGAGAATGAAGGTCTCAGTTCAACACAGGTCAACCCCATCAGCCATTTTTACATTCCCCAAACTCTAAGTTGATCCCCGAATTTTAGCTGTAACCTGCCCACCACACGTCCAAACTACCTCATCTCTGGAGGCCACTCCCCTAAGCCTCTAAGGGTTACACCAGCTTCTCCCTCTACAGGCAGTGAGATACAATCCTACTGCTGTGCACGCTGTCAAAAGTTTTTGCAAGTGTGCAGCACAGGGAACCGTCCAGGGGACAAGGAATCCCTACCGTGGGGTCTGCTGGCTCCGCAAGGCCTCCTTCTTCAGCAGCTCCAGGCGCTGCGGGGTACAAAAGCAGTGGTACGCCGCGCCTCTCTCCAAAAGCATGTCGCTGGCTTTCCTGTAAAGGTCAAGTCTGTGTGACTGCTGGTAGGGTCCAAAGGAACCACCGCGGCGAGGACTCTCATCAGGGGGAATACCTGAAATATCAGTATGAGAAGACTTAGAAAGCTCGTAAAAAGGCAGAGCGAAACCCACCATGGGAGCATACAGAATGAAGATGAAACAGCAAGGTTCTGGAGAGCGTCCAAAGATGGTTTCCGCTCTAGGGCAGCCAGCTAACGGCATCTGCCTAGCACAGGACTCAGATTCCCCTGGACTCAGAAAACAAACAGCAGCCAACATCTTCAGAATTTAGAGTATTGTGTGCGAAGCAACGAGCAGAAAACCCATCAGAACCTACTAAATAGCAGAGCGGCTCTGGTACACTGCCTAGAGCCAAATGCAGCCAGGTGTATATATACAAAGCAGCACCCACCCTTTCTATAGGAAAGACCACTCGTACCACAAAAATACAGCTGAGACCTTACCTGATTATTTGACTTACTCCAAAGTTATTACTCAACAGCAAAGCCCTAGTCCCTTGAAGTTTACCTACCCATTAACGGCAGCATCTGTGGGATCCAGCCGTAACTTTAAAATCACCCGCACTTCTAGTTCTTAAGCTCAAAAAGAAGCAGGGGATTAAACCCAAAACCTGACACCTCCAGATCCCCTTTAGCAAATACTCTGTACACAAACAAGTCACCAAGTTACCAAGTTACAGCAAGATCTGTGAGCTCCGACTCCTGACCTTTCCATCATGTCTCTCAAGCACAACTTTTCTTACAACTGCACATTGGGCCACTTTCACAAATTTGGATTTTTCTGCGTGTCAGACAACACAGACGGAAGAAACTAAGCCTGACCAGTCATTTCTGCTGTAAAGGACACTTCCAGTAGGATTTTCCTGATGCCCAGCTGTAGAAATAACTGCATTTCAACTAATCCATCATCTGAAACGCTGCACAGCTTGCAGTCATACAAAATATTCTCAGTTTGAGTACTGTTAATCTCTAAAAAGAAGAGAACCTTTTGATAAGTAAAAAATGAAAGATGTTTGCAAGTACCTGCCCAATCCAGCATATCTTCTATTCCTTCTGCAGCTCCAGGCACAACCCGATTTTGATCTGTATCCTCCACTCTCAAAATAAAGGCCCCTTGGTGCTTTTTGGCAAAGATATAATTGTACAGAGCGGTCCGAAGGCCACCCAAATGCAGAAAACCTGTTACCATGCGGAAATCAGAGGAGAGTAAGAACAATTAAGGGCCAATAAAGAGATGTCTAAACACGAGCTGGAAGGGGACTGCTACCTGCAACGGGACGGCCACTCAGCGCTAACGGAGGGCAGGACTCTTGCTGGCTTTGCGGGCCCCCGCTGTGGAGCTGAATCCCTGGTGGCCACCCCCCCCACGGGAGCGTCTTGC